GTCACGAGGGCTTCTGTTTTCTTGCTAGCACAACCATGGATTGCTTTCGATGATTTTCTTCTACCTATTTTTACTCACAATGTATGGGTAAGCCCGTGGTATGGTTTTCAGGCACTTTCTAAAGATACCGAACGCTTGAATCACCCCCCCACCCAAGACCGATAACATCAAGAATCACTTCCCTAACAAACTGACCATAATGAGATTCAAACCATAGTTTCATCTCAAAGTTTTAACCACTCGGCAACGTGCCCTTATTGATTTAATTATTAAATTTATTAAAGTATTTTCAGTAATGAAGACCTTTAAATAAAATAAAAAATATTTATTTTATAATTTATACACAACTTCAAATTCATTATCAATGAAAAACAATCGATTACAAACATATTTTGAATATTGCCGCTACATCTTATCTGGTGTTTCTGCTAAGTATTCCGAGATAAAATACAAAGAAGAATCTGCAGTGTTATCAGTCCTGACCTGATATCTTGGCTTCAATCTTTTTCCACTGCCGTAACCTAGCTTCCCCGTGACTTTTTTTTTCTAAATACATTCATAGTAAATGGTCTAATGAACTTTCCTCTATGGCAACCAGACTTTAAGAATGTATGCATACTACTAGATTTACAACAAGTTCTTCTCATTTTTCAGTGGAAATGGCTAGATGTAACCGTAAGTTCTATGCTAACAGTTTCCTCTCTCACATTTCTCACGTTTGAAACTCTCTTCCGTGTTTTTGCTCCCGCCACACTTTTGATTTTCAAAAATTTATATGCAATGTCAGTCGTTAGCTTTTGTCCTCTTAATTCTGGTTCTTTTATTGTTCTCGATCCTTAATAGTGTGTTTTTTCTCATATTCGCTTACATTCAGTAACTACTTGTGTAAGAGTGACTTTAATGACTTGCTTCTTCTTTTTTTTTAATGTACAAGGCAAACAATTTAATGCTGGCGCTAATATAAAGAAACGACTCTTCCTCATTTTAGGGTAATCCAGTATATTTGTATTTCATGATAATACATCTGAAAAACAATTTCGACTTAAAGAATTAGACTGAATGTAAATAATGTAGGTAATATGAAAAATGCCGCTTTTTTAAAAAGAACATAATTTATTGCGGTGAAAATGTATAGAATACTTTAATTTAAAAATCCTGTATAGTAAGTTTGCGTCCAGGATCTTAAAATATATCTCTTTTCCTCCAAATATATTTCTGATCTTATCATATTAAATGATGTGTCACTTCAAGGTATGGGCTGTCATGGTTCTCCGCAAATCTCTATATATTCGTATTTAGTAATATTTATCTCCTTACTATATCACTCACTTGTCATTTTACCATCAATTTACTTAAACTTGATAGGTAGTATTTTTTTAATCATTTCACACAAAGCAAGGTAATATATCCACTAAGATGCAATAGGTTACTGAGTGTGGGAGAATATGAGAAAATATTATTAAAGAAAGAAAACAATAAAGGAACAGGAAATAAAAAATGAAGGTTACTGTTTCTCGCTGCCCCACTTTGACTTCAGTATGTTCTGTAAGCCCACGTTCTTCAGTATATCCCAAATAAAAACCACAATAAGTTTCATAATTATGAGATAAATAAATTAGTATTTACATTATTTACATCATTCAGATTGTTTTCCTCGTCTTTATTGTCATATTCACGACGTTTCGGCCGTAGTACACTCCGGACTTCTTCAAGTGATATACGTTGGAATTACGAACTAAATAAAGGGTTCAGTTCGAAATTCCAACAAATATCACCTGAAAACGGCCGGAGCGTACAACGGCCGAAACGTAATGAATATGACAATCAGGATGAGAACAACAGTTTGAACGATGTAAACAATTACAATACCTAATGTCATATAGACAAATAAATTAGTATTTCATAGATGTTTTACTTGCTGCCAGTTTTATTGATTGGTTGATATTTCTGTCACCAATATTTTTGTCATTTATTGTTTCTATAATCAATCTTGAAAGTATGACACACTTTAACTCATTTTTTAAAAAAATCGATTTTCTAAATTTCTTTATTAGCTTCGGTAAATTCCAATTTTTCAAACATGTTCGATTTGAGATTTTGCTTTATTTTATATTATTTTTCACAAATCTCTATAACCTTTGAAATTTTTCATTAAACCTTATTATTATATGTTTCTATTTCTCATAACCCTATTTACATGTTTAAATTGCAGTATTTACCTGAACACATATATTAAATAATTATTTTAAATGTTATCCTACAATACGTTTTTTTCATACTTGATACACTTTATCAATATGATGAAATGAAATCGACAAGTAAATTTCCAATTTTGGATAAAACTTGCATTCACTTTACTCGCATGTAGGAGAAAAACATAAAGCAATATTTCATCCCAATCAGTTATGGAGAAAATAGTAAATCAGATTTGAATCTAGAGCCTAAGTAGAACAAATAGTCAAACAGAGTTAGACCTTGAAGAAGGCCTCTGCAGTGGACTAATATAAAAACTAATACAGATAACTTTCATTGTAAACATTTAGCTATATAAAACTTTACTAATTGTATTTTCTTTATGTATAACATTTAAGAGGTTTCATAGTATATTCGTCCTTTGTATTGATTATGAAGGACTATTATCGCACATGGAACTTTTTTTGTTGTTTTTTGGTGGGGGTTCTTTCTTTTCTTTTTCATTTTAATCGCTATATTATGGACAATAGTAGCTATCCGGTTATCTCGGGAGACAACGATACCGCCATGTTTGGTCAAAATTCAGTTCTTTGGGGTGAGACTGGAGTGACCTCTCCAGGGTTCACACCTGTGCAATGGTATATGGTGGTCATTCGCTGTCCGGACATATAATCCGCTCTCACGAGGTAGTATTTCCAAAGAAGTACAGGACATTACATTTGTAGTCTGGCTGCAGGATTTGTTGGAAGCTTGTCAGTGTTAACAGCAAACCGTGTTCTGGGCTCATTTTTGGATTTTTTTCTCTTGGTTTACTTCCATAGCCTTCTCCATGTTATATGAACACAATGTAGCGTAGGTTTTAAATCAGAGTTTTCATTTCGCTCACTGGACTGCTTTGCAGGACTGACGAGCTGCATAAAATTACAGACACTATTAGCAATCTTCAATGTTCATCTCTTTTTATTTGTTTTTATGTATAAATAAAACGGTTGTTTTTATTCACTTGGAAAAACAACAGAATGACAATTTAATGACTACAAAGGCATGATTACTTCGCTTAATTAATTATAAATAACTATAAAATCGGTAAAGCAGCGATTTAATGTTTCGTTTCAGCTATCTCTTTAGACTCATATCAAACAAGATATCTTGAAAGATGTCGCTGGAGTAAAATGTGAATTCATTGTTGCTTAGAATAAACGTTATGTTTCTTTTAATTTAATACTTTTATATTTTATTTCATTCCTAAAATATTTTATCTAAAATTTAAATATTTATTCAACAGCAAATATAGTTATATATTTTAATATTTTTAAAGTTGTTCTTTATCCTTTAACTCAAAGCAAGTTGATAATGCGACTAAAGAATTTAGCGAGGATAAAAGATATAAAAATAACAGTTTCAGTAAAGACTGAATATGCAGATACACATAACATTTAAATTTTTGAAGATCTCAGAGGGGACAAGGAAGCAAAAAACCGGAAGTGGGTTTCGCAGTCATGAAGTGCGAGAAATGAATATACTGGAATAGAATTTATGGTTACATCTAAGTATTTCAACAGTAGAGCGATGAGACCTAGTTGCCAATCTAGTAGTGTGCTTAAATTTGTGCAATCGATTTTATCAAGGAGGAATTACTGCCACGAAAATATTTATATAAAAGAGACAGACAATAATTTCACAAATATTTATTTAAATAAAGTCTTATACATGTGTTTTACCATTTTAAATATTTTATATTTTGGATAAAGCAATAGATGAAAATTTATTTATATGATTGAATTGATATCTAATTAAAATGTATACTTCAAACAGTACATGCACATATTCCCTAGAATCATTCACAGAAATGTACATGAGTATGTGTGTTGGTTTGCACAATAATGTGACACGCTTTTGCCATGATAGAATGTTGAATTATTATTTGCCACATGTTTCTGTTATAAAATTCCTAATCTTCGAAAGCAAATATAACCAAACTGCTATGATATATTTGCGTGGAACAACAGATTAAAATAAATTACAATGCAGATTTGACTGAGATCGCTTTATGCAAAATCAATTATATTTTCTTAATAGAAGCACATTATGCAACTGAAATGTATTTATATAATAAAATAGAGCGCCAAAGTGAAAGTGAAAATAGAAATTATTCTACAAAAAATGTTTTATTTGTACATTAGCTGGTTTCAGGTTTAAAATATTGCCAAAATTAATATGACACAAAGTTTCGATACGCAAGACTCATACATGTGCTTGTAGAAGAATATAAATAGTGAGAATGAGTGCGACTGATAGGAGTGCCATAGAAAAAAAAAGACAACGTGGTTCTAAATTTAAAACCACGCAGCAAGTGTCGACTTGCACTAATCTGTTGGTGACAGAGAAACGATGCACATCAGAAAAGGGACAACAAAGCGAAGCCCCTGAAGCAAATAAAAAAAATGAAAGGCGACAAGAGCATAAAAAAACTGAAAGAAAGAAAAGAGACAAAGGAAAACCGAAAACAAAGAAAGAAATTCTTAGTTTTCTGTTTTTCTTTGTTTATTTTCTCAGCTTTCATTTCTTAGATAGTAAAAAGAAATATAAAAGAAACTGAAAGTTCGATCGAATATTTACATACAGAGCTCTGAATAACAAAAAATATCAATTAAAGAAAAATATTTCTAAAAATTAATAAGAAAGAAACAAAACAAGAAAGAAAAGATTTACAAGTGGATGACTAGAAGGAAGGAAGGAAGGAAGGAAGGAAGGAAGGAAGGAAGGAAGGAAGGAAGAAAGAAAGAAAGAAAGAAAGAGAGGCTGGCTTAGTTGGTGAATAGAAAAGAAAGAAAGAGAGAAAGAAAGAAAGAAAGAAAAAAGCTTTTTAGGGGAATGAGTAGAAGGTAGGTAGGAAGGAAGACAGGCTTAGCATCTGAATAGAAAAGAAAGAAAGAAAGAAAGAAAGAAAGAAAGAAAGAAAGAAAGAAAGAAAGAAAGAAAGAAAGAAAGAAGCTTTTTAGGTGAATAAGTATAAGGTAGATAGGAAGGAAGGCAGGCTTAGCTGCTGAATAGAAAAGAAAGAAAGAAAGAAAGAAAGAAAGAAAGAAAGAAAGAAAGAAAGAAAGAAAGAAAGAAGCTTTTTAGGTGAATGAGTAGACGGTAGGTAGGAAGGAAGGCAGGCTTAGCTGCTGAATAGAAAAGAAAGAAAGAAAGAAAGAAAGAAAGAAAGAAAGAAAGAAAGAAAGAAAGAAAGAAAGAAAGAAAGAAAGAAGCTTTTTAGGTGAATGAGTAGAAGGTACGTAGGAAGGAAGACAGGCTTAGCTGCTGAATAGAAAAGAAAGAAAGAAAGAAAAAAGAAAGAAAGAAAGAAAGAAAGAAAGAAAGAAAGAAAGAAAGAAAGAAAGTGAATGTAAGAAGAGAAACTGTATAGAATTGCTCGTATTTGTTTCCTGTTCTTGTATGAATGTTGCTTGAAGCGTTGAAAAGAAGAACTAAAAAGTTAAGACCTCAAAAAATTATCTTAAAAAGTAAAAATAAAAAGAAAGAAAGAAAACATTCGTTCGAGAACAACTTTCTAGAGAATGGGGAATGGGTTTGACAAAGCGCGACGCGTTCTTCTCTGAAATTGAAGTCTACTTTCTGAACGAAACATGAAGCAGCTCTTAAGCAATAATCTCTTGTCTCACCAGAAAAATAAACTTACCTCCCCACCTATTCACTTCAGAAGGGGGTTTCGTTTTACCCCTAACATACACACACAAATATATACAATCACACATATATATATATATATATATATATATATATATATATATATATATATATATATGTGTGTGTGTGTGTGTGTGTGTGTGTGTGTGTGTGTGTGTGTGTGTATCTGTGTGTTTTATGTGATTAATGTATCCACATATCTGCTTGTGCAGTCAGCTAATATATACCTATAAGCGCGTGTACGTATTTGCGTGTGTATTGGCTTATTGTGTATATATATATATGTCCACTTATTTACTATGCATGATACACACACACATATATATATATATATATATGTGTGTGTGTGTGTGTGTGTGTGTGTGTGGTTATCTACATGTACTATCGAGTGTTAAACATTAATGTTAGCATTTGTGTATGTAATTTAAATAGTGGAGATAAAATGCACATAAACATAAATGTGTATACTTATACATACATTCGGGATTTAAATAAGAATATATATGTATACTTAAATATGTATAAGAATGTGTGTGTGCAAGAACTGAAATGTTGGATAATTAGAGCAGCAGATTCGTAACGAATGCATTACTGACTTTTGTTGTTACCATTTGTGAGCAACATTTTTGTGAGATCACTGTATACATTTTTAAATAGATTACCTCAGTGATGACGGCGGATTATAAATAGTGGAAAAAGTAATTCTTTTCATGGTAGTTTTTAATGCCATCTTCCTTCAAGACGTAAATGATCATGGATCCTCACATTTTACTTTCTTTATTATCTTAGATGTGAATTGCCATGACTTATTGGGAAAGATAGTGGAGTGGTTTCCTGTTTCTTTGTTTTGAATAGCAATAACTGTTTAGGACTGGTTGCTTGTTGCTCTTACAACGGATTTGAATTCAGAGTAGGTGACCATGGCTCTCCACACATTCCTTTTTCTTTATTATCTGTGAATTGCCATGACTTCTTGGGAAAGGTCGTAGACTGGTTTTCTGTTGCTTTCTCTACGCTTTTGAATCCAGAGTAGGTGATCATGGCTCTCCACATTCTTTTTCTTTATTATCAGTGAATTGCCATGACTTCTTGGGAAAGGTCGTAGACTGCTTTTCTGTTGCTTTCTCTACGCTTTTGAATTCAGAGTAGGTGATCATGGCTCTCCACACATTCCTTTTTCTTTATTATCAGTGAATTGCCATGACTTCTTGGGAAAGGTCGTAGACTGGTTTTCTGTTGCTTTCTCCACGGTTCTGAATTCAGAGTAGGTGATCATGGCTCTCCACACATTCCTTTTCTTTATTATCTGTGAATTGCCATGACTTCTTGGGAAAGGTCGTAGACTGGTTTTCTGTTGCTTTCTCCACGGTTCTGAATTCAGAGTAGGTGATCATGGCTCTCCACACATTCCTTTTTCTTTATTATCTGTGAATTGCCATGACTTCTTGGGAAAGTCGTGGATTGGTTTTCTATTGCTTTCTCTACGCTTTTGAATTCAGAGTAGGTGATCATGGCTCTCCACACATTCCTTTTTCTTTATTATCTGGGAATTGCCATGACTTCTTGGGAAAGGTCGTAGACTGGTTTTCTGTTGCTTTCTCCACGGTTCTGAATTCAGAGTAGGTGATCATGGCTCTCCACACATTCCTTTTTCTTTATTATCAGTGAATTGCCATGACTTCTTGGGAAAGTCGTGGATTGGTTTTCTGTTGCTTTCTCCACGGTTCTGAATTCAGAGTAGGTGATCATGGCTCTCCACAGATTCCTTTTTCTTTATTATCTGTGAATTGCCATGACTTCTTGGGAAAGGTCGTAGACTGGTTTTCTGTTGCTTTCTCCACGGTTCTGAATTCAGAGTAGGTGATCATGGCTCTCACACATTCCTTTTCTTTATTATCTGTGAATTGCCATGACTTCTTGGGAAAGTCGTGGATTGGTTTTTCTGTTTTCTCTACGCTTTTGAATTCAGAGTAGGTGATCATGGCTCTCCACACATTCCTTTTTCTTTATTATCTGGGAATTGCCATGACTTCTTGGGAAAGGTCGTAGACTGGTTTTCTGTTGCTTTCTCCACGGTTCTGAATTCAGAGTAGGTGATCATGGCTCTCCACACATTCCTTTTTCTTTATTATCTGTGAATTGCCATGACTTCTTAGGAAAGCTCGTGGATTGGTTTTCTGTTGCTTTCTCTACGCTTTTGAATTCAGAGTAGGTGATCATGGCTCTCCACACATTCCTTTTTCTTTATTATCTGTGAATTACCATGATGTCTTAGGAAAGATAGTTGAGTGGTTTTCTGTTGCTTTCTCTGCGGTTCTGAATTCAGAGTAGGTGATCATGGCTCTCCACAGATTCCTTTTTCTTTATCATCTGTGAATTCCCATGACTTCTTGAGAAAGGTAGCGGACTGCTTTTCTGTTGCTTTCTCTACGCTTTTGAATTCAGAGTAGGTGATCATGGCTCTCCACACATTCCTTTTTCTTTATTATCTGTGAATTGCCATGACTTCTTAGGAAAGCTCGTGGATTGGTTTTCTCCATTTTTTTCTACGTTTTTGAATTCAGAGTAGGTGATCATGGCTCTCCACACATTCCTTTTTCTTTATTATCTGTGAATTGCCATGACTTCTTAGGAAAGCTCGTGGATTGGTTTTCTGTTGCTTTCTCTACGCTTTTGAATTCAGAGTAGGTGATCATGGCTCTCCACATTTTTTTTTCTTTATTATCTGTGAATTGCCATGACTTCTTGGGAAAGGTCGTAGACTGCTTTTCTGTTGCTTTTCTACGCTTTTGAATTCAGAGTAGGTGATCATGGCTCTCACACATTCCTTTTTCTTTATTATCAGTGAATTGCCATGACTTCTTGGGAAAGGTCGTAGACTGCTTTTTCTGTTGCTTTCTCTATTATTTTGAATTCAGAGTAGGGTGATCATGGCTCTCCACACATTCCTTTTTCTTTATTATCTGTGAATTGCCATGACTTCTTGGGAAAGGTCGTAGACTGCTTTTCTGTTGCTTTCTCTACGCTTTTGAATTCAGAGTAGGTGATCATGGCTCTCCACACATTCCTTTTTCTTTATTATCTGTGAATTGCCATGACTTCTTGGGAAAGGTCGTAGACTGCTTTTCTGTTGCTTTCTCTACGCTTTTGAATTCAGAGTAGGTGATCATGGCTCTCCACACATTCCTTTTTCTTTATTATCAGTGAATTGCCATGACTTCTTGGGAAAGGTCGTAGACTGCTTTTCTGTTGCTTTTCTACGCTTTTTGAATTCAGAGTAGGTGATCATGGCTCTCCACACATTCCTTTTTCTTTATTATCAGTGAATTGCCATGACTTCTTGGGAAAGGTCGTAGACTGCTTTTCTGTTGCTTTCTCTACGCTTTTGAATTCAGAGTAGGTGATCATGGCTCTCCACACATTCCTTTTTCTTTATTATCTGTGAATTGCCATGACTTCTTGGGAAAGGTCGTAGACTGCTTTTCTGTTGCTTTTCTATCCTTTTGAATTCAGAGTAGGTGATCATGGCTCTCACACATTCCTTTTTCTTTTATTATCTGTGAATTGCCATGACTTCTTGGGAAAGGTCGTAGACTGCTTTTCTGTTGCTTTCTCTACGCTTTTGAATTCAGAGTAGGTGATCATGGCTCTCCACACATTCCTTTTTCTTTATTATCAGTGAATTGCCATGACTTCTTGGGAAAGTCGTGGATTGATTTTCTGTTGCTTTCTCTACGCTTTTGAATTCAGAGTGGGTGATCATGGCTCTCCACACATTCCTTTTTCTTTATTATCAGTGAATTTGTCTTTTGACTTCTTGGGAAAGTCGTGGATTGATTTTCTGTTGCTTTCTCTACGCTTTTGAATTCAGAGTAGGTGATCATGGCTCTCCACACATTCCTTTTTCTTTATTATCTGTGAATTGCCATGACTTCTTGGGAAAGGTCGTAGACTGGTTTTCTGTTGCTTTCTCTACGCTTTTGAATTCAGAGTAGGTGATCATGGCTCTCCACACATTCCTTTTTCTTTATTATCAGTGAATTGCCATGACTTCTTGGGAAAGTCGTGGATTGATTTTCTGTTGCTTTCTCCACGGTTCTGAATTCAGAGTAGGTGATCATGGCTCTCCACACATTCCTTTTTCTTTATTATCTGTGAATTACCATGAGGTCTTGGGAAAGATAGTGGAGTGGTTTTCTGTTGCTTTCTCCACGGTTCTGAATTCAGAGTAGGTGATCATGGCTCTCCACACATTCCTTTTTCTTTATTATCTGTGAATTGCCATGACTTCTTAGGAAAGCTCGTGGATTGGTTTTCTGTTGCTTTCTCTACGCTTTTGAATTCAGAGTAGGTGATCATGGCTCTCCACACATTCCTTTTTCTTTATTATCTGTGAATTGCCATGACTTCTTAGGAAAGCTCGTGGATTGGTTTTCTGTTGCTTTCTCTACGCTTTTGAATTCAGAGTAGGTGATCATGGCTCTCCACACATTCTTTTTTCTTTATTATCTGTGAATTGCCATGACTTCTTGGGAAAGGTCGTAGACTTGCTTTTCTGTTGCTTTTCTACGCTTTTGAATTCAGAGTAGGTGATCATGGCTCTCACACATTCCTTTTTTCTTTATTATCTGCGAATTGCCATGACTTCTTGGGAAAGGTCGTAGACTGCTTTTCTGTTGCTTTCTCTACGCTTTTGAATTCAGAGTGGGTGATCATGGCTCTCCACACATTCCTTTTTCTTTATTATCAGTGAATTGCCATGACTTCTTGGGAAAGTCGTGGATTGGTTTTCTGTTGCTTTCTCCACGCTTCTGAATTCAGAGTAGGTGATCATGGCTCTCCACAGATTCCTTTTTCTTTATTATCTGTGAATTACCATGAGGTCTTGGGAAAGATAGTTGAGTGGTTTTCTGTTGCTTTCTCCACGGTTCAGAATTCTGA